AAAAAAAAAAAAAAAAAAAATACTATTAAGGGGGCCAGGAATTTAGCTCAGTGGCAGCGTGTCTGCATTGCAAGCACAAGGTCCTGAGTTCAGTCATGGTACCAATAATAATAATAATAGGGCCGGGGATTTAGCACAGTGGTTACTGGTACCAAAAAAATAAATAAGGCTGGAGATTTAGCTCAGTGGTTCCACTGCCTGCCTTGTAAGCACAAGGAACCGAGTTCAATCCCCAGTATTCCCCCAAAAAAAGAATAATGAAAAGACAAACCACAGAGTGGGAGAAAATGTTTGCAAATCACATATCTACTTTCCTTCGGTACTAGGGGTCAAACTCTGGGCCCTTGCGAGGCAGGTGCCAGAACCACTGAGCTAAATCCCTGGCCCACAAATCATCTGATAAAGAACTTTTTTCCCCCCTCCCTTACTGGGGATTGAACCCAGAGCCTTTGCACTGAACTGCATCCCGAGATCTTTTTTAATTGTTTATTTTGAGACAATCTCCATAAATTGCCCAGGTTGGGTAGGAATTTGTGATTCTTCTGCCTTGGCCTTCTAGAGTACTGGGATTATGGGTATGTGTTCCTTCCTACACCCAGTTCCATGAAGGATTTATGTTCAGAAAATACAAAGCACTCTTAAAACTCAATATGAGGACAATTTAAAAATAAGCAAAAGAGTTGAATGGACATTTCACTAAGGAAGATAAGGAATGGCTGACATGTATAAGAAATGGTACTCATCACTGGCTGTTGCAGAGACAACAAAATCATAATATTGTGCCTCTACACACCATTAAGAGTGGCTCCAACCACTGGCTGGTAGGTTGAGGCAGGAGAATCACAAGTTCAGTCCCAGTCTGGGTATCTTAGAGACTTACAGCCTGTTGCAAGTTAAAAAGTGACAAATGACTGGGGATGTGGCTCAGTGCAAAGAGCCTGGGTTCGATCCCCAGTACCACACACAAACACAAGAATGATGAATAGCTCTAACATAAAAGGCAGACAAGGATGCGGAGAAACTGCAATTCTTATATATTGCTGGTGGTAGGAATTTAAAATGGCAAAACCAGTCCAGGTATTTAGCTCAGTGATTCTGCCACCTGCCTTGCAATTGCGAAGTCCCGACGAGGTCAATCCCCGGTACCTCCCCCCAAAAATGGCGAAACCATTTCCAGAGGAATTTGGTAGCTTTCTTGAAAATATATTCATTTGCCTGTAATCTCAGCACTCTGGAGGTTGAGGCAGGAAGATCATCATGTCACTATGAGTTTAAAGTCAGCCTGGGCTACATAGTGAGTTCAAGGCCTGCCTGAACTACATAGCAAGACTCTGTCTTTAAAAAAAAAAAGTATTCATAAACTAATAATATGACCCAGAAATTTCACTCAAAGAGAATAAAAATAGGCCCATAAAATTCTTGCACACAAATATTCATTATTCCTACATATCAAGTGCAGTATTCATTATAACTCAAATCTAGAAACTACCAAAATATCCATTACTTGTGAATGTACAAGCAAAATCTGGCACAGCCATATGATGGAGAATTATCAGCAATAAAAGGGATCGGAAATAGTGATACATGGGACCCCAGAATGAACGTTACCTCCAAACATTTATGCTAGGTGAAAGGAGCCATGTATGAATCACATGATGCGATTCTATTTACATGAAATATCCAAAACGATAAATCTATAGAAACAGAAAGATCAGCCAGGCATGGTAACACACTGTAATCACAGCAGTCTGCGAGGCTGAAACAGGAGGATCCCAAATTCAACTCATCCTGGGCAATTTATCAAGATCCTGTTTTTCCTAGCTGGTGTGGTGGTGCTTTTTACCTATAGTCCCAGTTATCCTGGAGGCTTAGGCAGGAGGATCACTTGACCCCAGAAGTTTGAGGCCAACTGAGCAATATAGTGAGATCCTGATTTTAAAAATTACCACACTGAATTTAATACCACTACTTCTGGTGGGCCTATTACTTGCTTTCTATTTTGTGGTATTAGGGACTGAACACTGGGGGCACTGAGCTACCTCCTGGGGCCTTTTACTTTTTTGTTTGTTTGTTGTTTTGGTTTTTTAAAGACAGGATCTCACTGTGTAGTTCACACAGGCCTTGAACTCACTGTATAGCTCAGGCTGGCCTCGAACTTTTGAACTTGCAGTGATCCTCCTGCCTCAGCTTCCTGAATGCTGGGATTACAGGTATGTTCCACCATGCCCAGCCCTTTTACATTTTATTTTGAGACAAAGTCTCTGTATGTTATCCAGGCTGGCCTGGAACTTGTGATCCTCCTTGTATCTAGGATTACAGGTACGTGTCACCACGCTGGGCTGCTCTCTGCCATCTCAACTCTTTCTAAAATGTATGTCTCATTTCTAGTTTCTCTGGTGTGAAAAACTGAAAGTGGAAATAAGGATTGAAATGTATAATAGATATTGGGAAATGGGAAGAAAATGTTCAAATGAGAAAGGGAAGAGGGACAAAAATAGAAGGAAAAAATAGAAACTGCTTTTGTAAATGAGGGGAAGAGGGGTTGAAGGGAGTGGGGGAAAAAAGCAGCAAGATATATCATGTACAGGTACAAATTCCCTATGGTGAATGTTATCTCATGTATTGGTGCATCATGTATTGATCCATGGTACTGGAAAAAATACCAATAAATGTTTCAAAAATTTATTTTTTTTTCAGTACCAGAAATTGAACTCAGGACCTTGCACTTGCCAGGCAGGCGTGTTTAAAAAAAATTTATTTTATTTTATTTTTTTGTGGTGCCAGGGATTGAACGCAGGACCTTGTGCTAGGGAGGCAGAGGCTGCACCACTGAGCTAAATCCCCAGCCCCCCATTTTTTTCAATTAAAAAATTGCAGGGGATTTAGCTCAGCGGCACCACACTTGCCTTGTGAGCACAAGGTCCTGAGTTAGATCCCCAATACCAAAAATAAATAAATGAATAAATAAAATATATGTCTCGATGGAAACAAAGATTTTGTAAATACGGAGGGGAAGACGGAAGGGGAAAGGGCCAGGGATTTAGCTCAGTGGCACCTTGCCTTCCTGGCAAACGCAAGGTCTTGAGTTTGATTCCTGGTACAGGGGGGTGTGGGGGAAAAAAGAATCAAGATATATTATGTGAATTTAACTTTTTTTTTTTTTTTTTTTGGTACCAGGGATCAAACTCAGGACCTTGCACTTGCAAGGCAGACACCGGAACCACTGAGCTAAATCCCTGGCCCTCAAGATATATTATGGATAAATACAAATTCCCTTTGCTAAATGTGATCATCATGTATATCAAAAGCGTATCAGTAAAATGTAAAAAATAAAGTGTATGTCTTAGCCTGGTGTGGTGGGGCATGCCTGTAATACCAGCACTTGGGAGGCTGAGGCAGGAGGATTGTAGCAAATTCCAGGCCAGCCTGGGCTAAAGAGTTCAAGGCCAGCCTGAACTGTATAGCAAGACTGTCTCACAACCCCAAAAATAAAAACATACACATAAAATAAAATGTATATGCCTTGGGTTGAAATATGTTAAGGGGGAAATAGCTTTCCATTATCTGTATTGGTCCAACTTTAGTCTTTTTCTTGTGCCTCTATGCCTTTGTGGAGGAGAGGGGTGAGGGTATTACCAAGTGAAAGAAGACCGTCTAAAAGGGCAACCTGCCTCCCCTCCCTGCCTTGGAGAGGAGAGCAAGGCCAAGTCTACTTCATCGTTCTTACATATTGCCCAGCAAAGTGCCGCGCGCAAGGAGGCACTTAATAAATATTTTTTGAAAAGCCATTTCTAATCTTTTTGGAATCCACAACCAAGCAAAGATGGTAGAATGCAGTGGCCATGGGGTCTCCTTTTTCTACTGTGAAAATTCCAAACACAATGCCCTGGTTGATAAAAGGCAATTGACTGAAAGGATGAACTTTCCAGGAGCTCGATGTCCCTCTAGGCGGAAACCTTCAGGCCTTACTTTCCCAGAGGGTGTCGGCAGCAGGCTTTCCTGTTGCCCAGGCGTTGCCCAGGGAGGTCTCAGAAGAGGTCCCTGTGACCTGAGCTAACCGAGGAGGCCCCGCTCACTTCCTCTCCTTACGGGGTGCCCTGGGGACAGCAGGCTGCCACAGGGGCCTCCCAGCTGTTCAGCCATCGCTAGCAGCTTCACAGGGCCAGGCCCAGTTCTCTTTGTTCCCACGCTTGGAACCAGAATTAATGGTGTCAAACAAATGCCTTGGAGGACAATGGCAGAGCAGCCCTCAGTTGGGAAGCGCTGGAGGAGGGGCCCCGTCCCCACACTGCCCCACACTGATCTCGCACCTCACAGGCCGGGCCAGGATCATGAACCCTTTCCACCCGCGCAGCCTGCAGAGCCCAAGATCCACTGGTGCGGACGTGACCTTGTGTGTCATAACCCCTTCTGTGACTTTATAGATAATCTCATTTATAACCCTACCTACAATCTCACAATGCTAACGGGCCTAAAATAACTATGGAATCATTGCTTTGAAATAACTTCTTAAGAAAAGATTTTATTTTATACATCAGTCTGTTTAGAAATAGACATTGGTCTATGTTTTAGGTTCATGGCAACACAGCAGGAGATGCAGGGTCCCCTGTGCCGCCTGCTGCCACATAGGCACCCTTTCCCACCAGAGTGGCATTTGTTCTGACTGATTCGCCTACATTTTTTTTCTAACCTTACTGAGGATTGAAGCGAGGGCCTTTGTACTGAGCTACATCCCTAGGCCTTTTGGTTTTATTCTTTTATTTTGTGGCAGGGCCTCACTAGGTTGCTAAATTGCCCAAGGTGGGCTCATACTACCTAAGCCTCCCAGAGTTCTGGGATTACTGTGGCTTCAAAATAAAATTGAAAAATGGCAGGGGATGTTATTCAGTGGCCCAGCACTTGCCCACCATGCAAGAGGCCTTGGGTTCCATTCCAGCCCTGCAAAGACAAAACAAAACACCTGTGCTTTTATTACTCATCCCTCCTGTCCCCTGACAACCACCAATCTTTTCACTTTCACCATAGTTTTTGGTTTGGTTTGGTTTTGGGGGGGTTTTTTGGTTCCGGGGATTGAACTCAGGACCTTGGGTTTGCGAGGCAAGTGCTGGAACCACTGAGCTAAATCCCTGGCCCACCAGTTTTGTTTTGTTTTTTAATAGCAAAACATGTATTGGTACATTTTGGGCATGCATAATGGTAACATCCCAGGGAGTTTGCACCGTACATGCTACACCTCCTTTTTCCCCATTTCCCCTCACCTCAAGCCCCTCCCCTCCCTGTGTACAAAAGCTTTGTTTCCATTTTTTTCCTTCTATTTTTTCTTGTCCTTTTCTTCCTCCCTCCTCCTTTGTTCCCCTTCCCATTTGAACATTTTCTTCCCATTTCCCAAATTATACATTTTAGTCCTTATTTCCACTTTCGGTTCTCACACCAGAGAAACAAGGAGGTAGTTAATTAAACACGTGTGTCTTACCTCACTTAAGAGAATGGTCTCAAGGTGCATCCAGTTAGCTAGAAATGTCTGAAGTCCATCCTTCTTTATGGCAGAGTAGTACTCCATTGTGTAAAACATCCGCATCTTTATCCATTCATCAGTTGATGGGTATTTGGGATATTTCCAAGATTTAGCTATTACAAACTGTGCCATTGTAAACATGGGTGTGCATATATCATCTGTCACCATAATTATGCCTTTTCTAGGACATCCTACATATTCCTATGTTGCCTTTTGGCTGCTTTCATTTAGTAATATCCATGTCTTTTCATAGCCTGATAGCTCATTTTCCAGGGTGGAATAATAACCCATTACCCGAATGGACAATAGTTTATCTATGTAATCAACTACTGAAGGACAACTTTGCTGCTTCCAAGTTTGGGCATAAACACTGAATAATGACTAAACTTGTCATAAACACTAACCTACAGGTTTCTGTGTGGACATAACTTTTCAGGTCATTTGGGTAAAAACCAAGTAGCAAAACTGTTCTGTGGCTTAGTAATGAGCAGCTATACCACAGGTAGGGACTGAGCCTTCCTGTTGCTCAACAACTTCACCAGTATTTAGTGTTCAGTATTTTGGATTTTCCCCACCCTAAGAGGTGTGTAGTGGTACATCGTTCTTATTGTATTTATTTTTTGTTTGGTTTTTTGAGACAGGGTCTCATTATGTAGTGAAGACTGGCCTTGAACTCACTATGTAGCCCAGGCTGGTCTCAAACTCGCAGTGATCCTCCTCAGCCTCCTGAATGCTGAGATTACAAGCATGCACCACCACGCCTGACACATTTTACATTGCAATCTAATAATATATAATATTGACCATCTATCTTTTATTTACTTATTTGTTGAGACAGAGTCTCACTCTGTAATTAAGGCTGGCCTTGAACCATGTAGCCCAGGCTGGCCTTGAACTCATTGTGATCCTCCTGCCTCAGCTTCCCAAGTGCTGGGATAACAGGTGCACCAGAACACCCGATTTTTTTGTTGCTTTTGAGACAGGGTCTCCATAAGTAGTTCAGGCTGGTCTTGAACTCACTATGCAGCATACGTTGGCCTTGAATTCTCGGTGATCCTCCTGCCTCAGCCTCCCAAGTGCTGGGATTACAGACACGCACCACCATGCCCAGCTTTATTTTATTTATTTTTTAAGATAAGTTCTCACTATGTAGTCCAAGCTGTCTTCAAACTCATGGTGATCCTCCTGCCTCAGCCTCCTGAGTGCTGAGATCACAGGTGTGCACCACTACACCCGGCACCCAGCTCCTTTTTGATCCTGTTTTTTTTCCAGTTTGTGTTTAAGTCAAGACCTCTCTGTGTTCCCCAGACCAGCCCCAAACTACTGAGCTCAAAAAATCCTCCTTCCTTAGCCTCCTGAGTAGCATAGGTCAGGATATAGGACGTGTTTTTAAAAGAAACTTAGCAATTTGCAAATGTTTCTTTACAAACAGAGCAAAATATCTACAGAGGCAATGTGGTGGGAAAGAGGCAGGTTCCAGAGTCCGTCAGCTTGGATTTGAATTCTGCTCTGGTGGGTACCAGTTGTGAGTAATTCAACGTGTCTGCCACACTTTACTCATCTCACAATTGGGCTAGTAACAGTGCTTACCACATAGCACTGCTGTGAAGATTAAATCAGTTGCTAATATATATTTGATTTAAAGCAGGTGCAGCAACATCTACTATTAAGTTACTTGACTAGCACAGAAGATCCACTTTATTTGCAGAGATGCCAATGAAGTAATGAAGCATGGCCACGCACCCTTCCAACACAAGGGGGCGCGTGGAGGCCTGGGAGATCACTGTCCAACTGTGCTTTCCCATAAGGTCAAGGGTCAGGTCTTCTTATCATTTTAACACACGGCACATCGTCCATCCAAGGACAATATTGTAAATGGATTATGGGAGCTGGGAGATGGAATGGGAGCTTGCTCTGTCCATTCCACACATTGACCTGGTATTGCAGTAGCTCCAGGAATGGTGCACCCACTGTTGCGGTAGGGGCCTTAAATATGGTGTTTGAAAAGAAAAATTACTGGGCTGGGGATTTAGCTCAGCAGTTTGGTGGCCTGCCTTGCAAACGCAAAGACCCGAGTTCAATCCCTGGTACCAAAAAAAAAAAAAAA